CTTTCTGACTAAAAACACCCCCGTTCCTTCTCCTGCTCTGGGCCGAGGTCGCGATGCCTCATTGCGCTTACCCCGCAACCCCGGCTTTTGTAAATAATGTGACTTAGAAATTCGATATCGATACATCCTAAAGACTTGAAAAACACTTTTTTCAAACACGTTTTTTTCTCCTGTGTCGTGAGTGTATTCCATTTTCCAACGTATCTATATAGGTATATCTCACAATATCACATGCCTACATTTACGACAAGTTAAAAAAGTAACCAGTTTTACTAAGCAAAGTATAAAAAAATGCATATCAAAAATATAATATATATGATGTGTGATGTGTATGTATAATTTTATGTTTGTAAACCTACTCGCGACAAGGGCGAAATAGAAGTATATGGTTAGGCGATTATAGACATAAAAATGTTCTAATAATTATGCTCGTATATGTATTTATAATATAATCCGTATGCTATGTAACTAGGTACAGTAAATACTATATTTAGTAGCAATAACAGAAAAGTTTATATATTATCATAAATTCTTTTTATTAATTACAAAATTCACACAATACAAAATCGAAACACTTTACAATAACCTTGATATCATTACATTACAAAACCTCGCTACACATGAGGCCAAATTAATGGATTCATCTTAAATCTCTATACCACTAATTAAAACTGATGTACCGTTTCATTATACGCTGTAATGAGTTTAGTTCTAACACAATGCTTTAATTAGATCGAAGCTGTTCATTAACATACGATTGTGTCAAAACACTCAGTTCTGTCGTATCGGACTGTCAACTAAATGTCAAAGATGTCTTGGTGGGTCGGTGATATCGGCCAATTGTGTAATGTACAGGCGAGCGCATAAATTAAGGGACTATTTTATTTTTGAGTATTATTTTTTGCTTATTGTTAATCTATTGTTATATTATATTTAAATGACAATGATAAAATGATTGAATTACGGGAATTAACTGAAAAAAGCTCTACGAGTTTCAAGTTACACTGGAACTCTTATTCAAGACGAAGTCGACTGAATACATTGTTATTTTCAATTAATTTTGTATATATCACAAAAGTGAATGCACAAAATGTGTTTCATTTATTATTATATAATATTTGTTTAGTTTTATTTTAGTAATAGGACTCAGATTTTTATTTAACTAAAAGTTTTGTTTCTGTCGCTCATAGGTGTCAAACTGGTCCTACTAAAACTGCTACACGTATTTTGTTAGTTTTAAAGTAAGCATCTTCATTGAGTAATTTCCATGTTGCCGTTAAAAACAAAAATAAAACTTATAAATTATTTCAAAACAATTTTCCCCGAATGTACACTTGCGGCCAAACAAACTGGCGCGCGTTGATCGGCTTACGTCGGCTATCAACTAGTACATCGACATCTGTCCACGTGCCCGGATTAAATGGACCGTGTGACATGTGATTGTACACTCATTTGTACACGAAGTATATGATTAATGATCTAGTGATACGGGTAACGGGATGGGGAAATAATGATTTGAGGATGCTTTAGGTATTTCGTTGTGGTGTAAGATTTTTGTTGCGTCTTGTTTAATATAGACTAAGATGTGATGTTTTGTTAAAAATGTAGGTAAAAGATAATGTTTTAAAAAAATGTGTTTAAAGGCAACAGTTTTTTAAGAGACATGACCATAGTAAAACCATATTAAAATATCAAATATAATATTTTCTTAATTCAAAATGAACCTACAAATAAATTATGTTTCTAATATATAGACGCAGATAGTATTCAGATTTTCGAAGAACTGCATTTACTTTTTACTGTTACCAAATAAGGAAAACAGCAATAAACGTTAAACAGATGTAAAATTCTCTACAAAAACAACAAAATAAATCACTTTTAAACGTTATTCTGACATCAGATTTTTACCCTAAATTCTATAATGGATGTCGTCCAATATAATTTAAGAATGCTTTAGTGAAAATACCTGGTCGTCTGACGTGGAACAATAAGAGCAAGTCATCTCTCGGCCTAATATAAATAGCGAACATTAGATGAACGGGCTTAGTCTGTGTGTACACTGACTGCCCTTAAATCGGAGTCGCATTTGATTGTATTCAATGATTTAAAATATAGTGATTTTTATTAGAATTGGTATTTTTCAAATCGGTAATCAAAATATTTCATGAAAATGAAAGGATGATTAATCTGATAAACAAAAAAATAACAGACAAGTTGTAATATAACCTGACTACTTATGCACATTTGTACGATAAATAGAAAAAGATTGAACATTATATACGTTGTTTTTTTTCAATTTGTTTTATTTTAGGAAAACAAGTTTGCTATTACTCAGTTATTCTTGCGTCTATTACTTAAATTCTGTCGACACATCTACTCTTTCTTACTACTTATTTGTCAAATTTCTATCAATAGATAAAAGCGTTGACCAAAATTTATTGGTCTGCAGTGTACAATGTGCTGTCCAATGATTCCGTAATGGCCTTACGCGCATTACGTTATTTTGAGTGGATTGTACCGAACAAAAAAACGTACTGAGACAATTCGAGGTATGTGCGGAACGCCAACCGACCGATTTAGTCAAAACTCTTTGAAGGTTAAGTATATTTCATTAGATGACCATTCCATGTTACATAAAGGTTAGACAGTTTGTTATAAAGTGGAGCAAATTGTTTAAATACATTATATAGGTATAATATGAGTATTCTGGGTAATTTCTTAGAAGAACTAGTCAAACGAGCAGACTAGTATTACTTGATGGTAAGCAATGGACACCCGTAACAACGGAGGAATTGCAAGTGCGTAGCCGACCTTTTGGAAATTAGAGTTTGGAGATTTGGGATTGGGGAAGGGGAAGGCTTGAGCCCCTAGTAACTTCACTCATAAGTCGAAACACAATGCTGTGGTTGTTTGACGCCGATTTCCTAAGCGGCGGTGGTGTCATTCCGGTCGAGCCGACCCATTCGTGCCAAAGAATGGAAAACTAACTAATCCTTTTTAACCTATATGATATTACCTGAAACCGATTAACTGGAAACCGGTTAACTGGAAACCGGTTAACTGGAAAACTAGGACCACTTTGGTTCTATGCATGCTCTAACACCAAAGGTTTCTTTAGGGTGGAAAATCGTGCAATATGTTCTCTCGCCCTGGGTTGGGAGAGGGACTGTCAGACTCTTACTGAAGAAAATCCGATCTGGTCCTGTTCCAGGACAGGGCTGCGGTACATTATTGTACTTTCATCAGCAACTATTTTAAAAGATTGCTAACAACTACTGTTGCACAGGGTGTTTGCCTTACCCCAATGTCAAAGTGTTGCACGTGCTAAGTCGCCAATTTTTCCCACTCTAGTCTCGATTAAAGATCTCCTGGAATTACATCCAACTATTGATCTGTTTGCAGATGAGGATGAGATGGTGAGAGGTGAGATGGTGAGAGGTGAGATGGTGAGAGGTGAGATGGTGAGAGGATGAGAGGATGAGATGAGGATGTAAGAAAATTTTATTGGAATACAGGAGGTACAGCGAGAGGAAATTAATTACATCAATTCCGCATTAACCTTCCGGTCGGGGAAATTAGAGACACAATAGAAGGACAATAGGTGCGGAAACGCCAGCGTTCGTTTGGGGTTTGACGATAAATAAATGAATAAATTGTCTAATTCCCATAATATGACCAGCGAACTCAATTTTCTAAAATGTAATGAAATTGAATCTGTTTTATAATGATAAATAATATAAACCATATAATACATGTAAGTAATTAACTGCAGTACGAATATCGCTTGGAAATTATTATTCCATTGCATTTGCTAATGGTAAGCTGCGGGAATAGTGACAGGTTGTTAGCTTGCGCCTACGCATGCAGTAACCCATTGCCCTCGGTTGACTCTGGTAACTTGAGCTAGATTATTATATTAAGCCAATGTTCTTATGTGTTTCTCTATTGGAATTATTGATTTCTAGTTTCGGTTTTTCTTATAATTTTTCCATTGTATGCTTTATATTTTGTAGGTTGGGTAAAAAAAATTAAATTCCCGATCCTGAAGGTGTTGTTTCGAAGTTCAAGTTTTTGGGAAACAATCAAAATTGTTCTTGTTTTACGTAATTTGTGGCAAAATTAAAAAAAAATTACATCTCTAGGCCTGAAAGCTTCTAAAATTCTTTGGTTTTTAAGATCCTAATAGTACTCAAAATATAATAGTCCCAATTGAAAAAGTTTTTTGTAAATGCATCATCGTATTGATACTTGAGATTCTTCTACCTCTTTGGGCCTTCACTGAAATCATTATTTAAACAGGTACCTACTAAATACAATGTTCAAATTTAAATATACAAAACTCAGTTCCAGAACGAATATAATATTAACAGTAAATAATTACCACATACGTCAAAAGGAGTGGTCCCAGTGATAATACACGCTAATGCATCTCTCAAATATAAAAAGAACTACGTGTAATGGCGACCAATATTTTTTAAATATTGTGAAACTTCCCGATGACTTGGTTAAGGAAAAATATATTGTGAATACCCAATATCGTATCTATCGTTAATCTCTCAAAAAAGATAAAAACTAAATGATGATCAAAATTGATTTATAAATTGTTTTTATTCAAATCAAATCAAATCAATCAAATCAAATTCTTTATTTCAAATAGACCAAAAAAGGCACTTTTGAACGTCAAGCAAAAAAGATATCATAAGGTTTAACTTTATGTGTCAGTCTGTCCGTCTGTCCTCTAGTGAAGCTATTTGCTCGTTCCAAAGTGTAGATTCCTATGGAGAAGAACGAGCAAGAAACTCCATGGTTACTCTTTTTCAATCACTTTTTACAATACATTGTTACATAATTTAGATAGCTCCATTATGTGAGAACAGTGTAACACTAGGTGTTTAACCAAAGTATCCGAAAAAGAAATAACCCTCAGGGACAGCAACTTTAGACAGTCTCGAGTTGACCAGTCCCAATAGGCGGCGTCCGTTCACGAACATGACACGTACACCAGCACCGCCCAACTCAACCATATTATAGGGAACCGAGCGGTCCAGTGCCCGTGCCACCGCCAATGAGACTCCTGAGTGAGCATGACAACTCCCAACTGACACAAGTACCAATATACTATAAGTCTATAAGTCTAACTCAATTATAATAAGTTACAGGGCTCTCACATTTACAAAAATCCAGTTTATCAACAATCAACAACATGGTGAATAATTTAATAATTGAGATCAAAATTCCTCTTAACCTTAACAATTTTTATCCTGTGCAGTCAAACCAGCCACCCTCCAAGCATTTTTATCTTCTATATAATCATTTAGTTTGTAGTATGCTTTCCTACATAATACTTTCTTTATACATAATTTAAATTTACTTTCATTAAGATTTTGTATTTCAGTTGGGATTTTATTATAACATTTAACACATAATCCCATGAACGACTTATGCACTTTTGCTAATCTAAATAAAGGCTGACTTAATCTATTTCTATGTCTAGTAAGATAGTCATGCTTGTCAGATACTTTTACAAATAGCTGTAGGTTTTTCCTAACATACATAATGTTTTCATAAATATATTGACATGGTACGGTCATAATGTTGATCTCCTTAAACTTTTCTCTGAGAGATTCGCGACGACCTAAGTTATAGATAGCTCTGACTGCACGCTTTTGTAAGATAAAGATAGACTCAACGTCGGATGCCTGTCCCCACAACAGAATTCCATACGACATGATGCTGTGAAAGTAGCTAAAGTACACTAGTCGTGCCGTGCCTACGTCGGTTAGCTGACGGATCTTCCAGACAGCATAAGCTGCCGAGCTCAACCGCCCTGCTAAAGATCTAATGTGGGGCCCCCATTGCAGCTTGTCGTCTACAGTAATCCCCAAGAATGTGGTCTCCTTTACAAATTCCAGTTTCTGACCATTTAATAATATATCATCGCATACGTTACTTTTAACATTTGGCAAAATAAATCTAATACATTTCGTCTTTTTATCATTAAGTACTAAGTTGTTTTTTGTGAACCAATTATGAACTTTCGTTAAGGCATTATTCACTTCGTCATAGTTATTTGATCGTCTATTTAATTTAAAAATCAAGGATGTGTCATCAGCGAATAATACCATATGCGGTTCACTTTGGAATAAATGGGGCAGGTCATTGACATAAACCAAAAATAGGAATGGACCCAATATTGAGCCCTACGGTACGCCCATAGATACGCTAGCACCCTGGGAGTTTACTCTGTTTACTTGTACTGTAAGAAGTCTTTCTAGAAGGTATGATTTTAATAAATTTAGGGATACCCCCCGAATGCCGTAGTGTTGCAGCTTCAGTAATAGCGTTTCGTGCTCAACACAGTCAAAAGCCTTCGAAAGATCGCAAAATATTCCGATGGCATCCTGTGCTTTTTCCCACGATTTGAAAACTTGTTTTATAAGCGATACTCCTGCGTCCGTAGTGCAACGTCCCTTAGTGAACCCGTATTGTTGGTCATGGAAAATAGAATTCGCGTTAAAGTGACGCAGTATTTGAGTAAGTATCAACTTTTCAAACACTTTACTGAGCACTGGCAACAGAGAACAGGCCTATAGTTATTGCGTTCTGTGCTATCACCTGATTTAAGTAATGGAACTACTTTACTATGTTTCATTAAATCCGGGAAAACCCCTTGATCTACACTTTTATTAAAAATTAAAGTTAAGTAAGGCGCTATAGTCTCTATAAAAGACCTGCACACTCTAACAGACATTCCCCAGAGATCTTCACTTGACTTTACTTTGATATCTTTAAACGCCTTTATTACTTCCTGGGGGTTTGTATGTTTAAACCTAAAGTCCGCAGGACATTCTTTGACGTTACTTCTGAGAAGCTCGACCGCAAGTGCTGGAGATGATTGCAACGTTTCCGTAGTTTTGATGGGAATATTTTTAAAGAAATTTTCGAATTCCTGGGCAACTAATGAATTTGTACTAGTAAATCCCTTTTCGGTTTTTAAATTAAATTCTGTCTTATTAGATTTGTTTCTACCTGTTTCATTATTAATTATACTCCAGGTAGCTTTTATTTTATTTTCCGCGGTCCGGATTTTACTGCTAATATAGAGTGATTTAGCATGCTTACAAACTAATTTAAATATTTTTGAATATTTGGAGACATGCCTACGAAAAGCCTCACTTTCATTAAATGGTTTCATGCCATATAGCTCAAATAACTTTTCTCTACTTATACGAATGCCTGGTGTAGCCCAGTCACAGAATAAAAATTTACACTGGATATTTTTACGTTTTAAAGGGAACATTTTGTCGAACTGTATTTTTATGATGGATAATAAGTTAGCATAGATCTCACTCGGGCATTCATAGTCTTGTAATGGGCTGCATAATTTATGTTTTAAATTTTTATTTAATGACTCAATTTTTTTGTTTGTTATCTGTCTGAATATAATTTCCTTAGTTGCCACAGTTTTAAAAGTATTAAAGTTGACTGTTAGCCCACTGTGATCAGATGGTAATCTGTTTACAATTTCATTATGTAAATAATCACAGTTACAAAAAATATTATCTATACAAGTTGCCGAGGTGGATGTTACTCGGGTAGGCTCAAGGAATATATTAGACAGATCAAAAGATTTAAAAAGACCTAATAAGTTTGTACAATAAGAGTTGTTTTCTAAGAGATCAACATTAAAATCGCCACATACTATTGTATACTTATTACTAGAACACGTTTTCTGTAATACATCTTCCATTACTGAGCAAAATATATTTAAATTCTGTATGTTAGGAGGCCTATAAACACATACTACAATATGCCTATCCAGTTCAACACAGGACAACTCTATTGAGTGCTCAATTGATAGCAGTGCAATGTCTTGCCTTTCTTTATATTTTATTGAATTCTTTACTAAAATCAAGCTACCACCATGTATCATTTCTTTGCGGCTATAATAGTTGCCAACACAATAATTTTTGAAGTTAATTGATTCTACTTGATAATCTTTTAACCAATGTTCAGTTATACAAATAATGTCATATTGGAACTTTTCTAAAAACAATTCAATTTGTAGGATTTTTGATGCTAAGCCCTGAACATTTTGACTATACAATGACAACAGGTTATCTGTTTTATTTTTCAATTTAAGTTTATGCTTAACAATATTGCCAGAAGAAACCTTTTTAATGATAGGGGTTTTTGAATAATTTAATTGGTTATCTTCTGTTGTCGTGGAAGTCAGTTTAAAAGATTACTATCCGGAGTACTATCCATATTTATAACTAAATGTGGAGCCTCCTTCGTGCTATTATATGTACAATTAATCTCTATATTGTTAGATTGTCTAATCAATATAGATTTGTCACTAAAACTACTTATTAATAAATTAATACTATTTGCTAGCAAACTAGCAATTAATAATTTACATTTCCTGGGAATATACATATAATCCCGGGTCAACTTGAAACCACTAACAAATTTGTTAGTGTCAAAAAATGATAATTTGTCACTATGACAGCAGGTCAGAAAAAATATTAAATTGTTTAGATTATGAATTTTACTATTTTGCATTTTTGACAGAGTGTCAGCATATGGGAATGCACATAATACTATCTTCCCTGTATTTAATTTCAATAAGGTGTTGATACCATCACTTATATCCCGCTTGTTTACCCCTGTACTATCACCCATTAATATTACTATTGGCTGATTTTCTGCTAATTGTTTCTGTGATATTTTTTCTATCATATGGCCAAATTTTATATTGTGATAACAGTAATTTGTTACCCTGTATTTAAGACAATTAGCGATAAGTGACCCAAAACCTGCACCCACTGAGTCTGTAAACACACCAGCGTTGTAGGTAACAACTGGTTGACTCCCTGTTTGTGGCCCCGGCACAAGTTCTGGCTCAAAGGGTGGAGTGAGGGCACAGCTACATGAAAGGTTATTTGCAAGAGACTCATATCTCTCAGCACTAAAAGTAACTAAATCCACAAGTTTTCCTGCCTCAATCATGTGTTTGTTGAGTTGTGATTGGGCAGATTCATATTTTTGGAACATATCATTTAAGAACATTTCACGTTGTAAAAGTTCTTGTTGAAGAGCCTGAATGTCTTTGTCATATATGACCCTACATTGTTCTAAATCACTTTTGCATGATTTAAGTTCCTGAGTTACATTTAATTTTTGTTTTCTTAAATAGACATTCGTTTTAGACAGATTTTGCTTCTTTTTGAGTTTTTTAATTGTTTTATTTAGTTTTATATATTTTTTTATTTTATTGTGGCTATTCAGGACAGGGCAAGCAGTAATGGTATCATCACCGGTTAAGTCTATTGTGACTGCTGGTTCACAGATGTCACCAGATTCACTACCCACCAATTCTTCATACAAACTCTGAGTGTTGACCGACAACATAGATTTTTTGGAGGCCTCTAAGTTATTAATTATATTTTGTGCTTCTCTGAGGTCATGCTCCAGATGTGTTATACGTTTAAGAGCATCTTCATGTGTGTCAGTACACTGCTGAAAAGTATCAACTTGTTTTATTAAGTGGTTGTGTTGATCTATTAGGTCTATGTGACATGAGTGAAGTTCAGCTAATTCATATTTGAGTTGTGTGTTTTTGTTAACAATATTTTTAACTTCAATTTCACTGTCGTCACGCTCCTGCAGCAGTTGGTCGCACAGGTGCTTGGATGACTCCAGTTCTTTAAGTGCCGCCCTCAGTTTGATCTCCATCTCCTTAGACCGAGTCATCATACTGAAACGTATGAAGGGATGATCCTCTGAAATATAGGAGAAAAAAAAAGAACAGCAAATGGACAGAGAAATTTGTTTGTAAGCTAGGTGGACTTGTGTAAATGAAATAATCTATAAGATACTAAGAAAAGAACAAGAGAAAAGGGTGAATAATAGCTTTAACTTGTTCAGTATGATGAAACTAATAAATTGATGATTACAATTTCTGGTATGCAGGTAGATGAAAAATAAAGTAATTGTATTTTAAACTACTTATTAATTTTCTTAAGCTTAAATAATAATAAAAAAATACTTTATAACACAAAAGTACACTACGAATTGGGCTTATTTTAATTAATAACAGTCATATAAAGCATTTTGTTACGTTTCTAAAAAAAATTATTCGTTGTAGTGTTTCAATAATAAATTATCATCCAAACTGAGAACAACGTGTTACTTTAATCAAAACTGGAGCGTGTCTGTAATTGTGTATTGATGAAAAACAATAATTTTCACTTATACTCCCCTGGTTTATAGTTTTAAATTGAACTTTAGCTCCGTCCGTTAACCACTGACAGCTCGCAGGAACTTTTCAATTTTGCACTTAATTCTTATAAATATCACTGGGCCTACAATGCCTCTGGTGTTTTTACAAGTATTTTTACAAATAAATTGCTATTTATAGCAATAAAATCACTTAAATCTAATTTTAAAAATAAATTTAACTATGAGGTCGTATTTTGACGACCGATCACCAGTGTTGCCAACTCAAAAAAAAAAGAATTATTGGTTCTTTGATATATGGTTTGTTTAATGCATTTATAAGGTATAGTTGCATTTTTATTTAATTTATGAATGTAGAAGTAGATGATTTGGATAGTTTCTTCCATAAATAACAAATTATTTTAACGTTTCTATAGAATGATATATTCAAATGTCACTACTGTAATGATTTTCAATTTACAATTTTTTTATTTTTACTTGCATATTTTAAGTAAATGACTTACTTTTCAGGAGGATTAAAGATTAGGTAAATCCTATCCTAGATATATAAATATAAATGTTAGTAAAATTAGGCTGATTTTTTTACCAAGCTATAAAATTTTTGAATGAAACTTTTTACGGAGGTAGACTAAAGTCTGAAAACATTGGTACTGAGAGCGTCGTCGATGGCAAAAACTATTCGGAAATAACATCAAAGAGCAATCGTCACGGGAATTCTTCGTTTATTTTCAAAGACTTACTAATTAGATTAGGCACAGCTACGAACGATATTAGTACCGAATTTTCCGAGAAAATGACGTTGCGTTACGAAAACATTTCGTAAGCAAAATTACAATAATAGTAGCTCTATCTAACTAATGTTAATAATGTCAACAGTTGAATACATAGTGATATTAAGTCACTTAATATAATACGTCACAATTTATAATATACTCTTCAAAATTAATAGTAAAAAAATGTCGTTTTAACAAATTAACAGAAGCGACGCGACGTAGCGAAGTACGGCTATTGACACAGTACTGAAAATAATACGAAATGTAAACATTATATACGTCAGCGTATTATGAAATCTTTTCAGGTCGCCAGACGCCATTTTTATAATAATAAATATCGTTGTGTGCTGTAATGTCGTCGCTTGTGTGATTATATTATTATTGAAGTAAATCTACATAGAATCAACAGTCTGGGATTGGGATTAAATATAAGATTTTTATAAAAGTAATTCATAATTCCACTTTATTTTTTCGAAATGTAAATTGAAATAAATTTTTGGACTCATAATTACGCATTACGTATGAGGATTAAATCGATTAAGTGATTTTCGTGAATCTGGACGGCAGATTTTAAAGTCTACCTAAATGGCGTTAACGTTCTTAAGATTGTCAAAAAATTGCTACGAGCTAAGATTTAAGTTGAAATCATTGAATTGAGGTTTGGGATACCTATGTTAACTTCTTACACATTTTGTAACGAAACCATAGAAAAGGTTCTATATTTGAACTCCAATCTCTCAAACTCCAAAATCCATAAACTTTTGTACAATGAAAATCAATCTAAATACGAGAAAACTTTTCTTTTTTTAAATCATCTAATTTTTTCCCAAGCGACACGTACGTAATTTCGCAATAAAATATTCACGTCACTACCAATGTTAATCAAATTATTCTTCCCTAACTGTCTTGGTTGTCATCACCTGCGTGATCATCACGATTTGAGTCATACCTGAATACATGATGTCTATCACCCAATCACAGTATCACGATTTACAACCGCTTACTAGTACGTTCGGTGCGTACTACACGTGGCTCTAATTGGTCGTAAGGACATTGTCTTTACACAGAAATTTGTACTTAAAGTCACGTTTTTAAAAGTCTATTTTTATTTAACGGAAGTTCACGATTTTCAGTTTGTAACAGCGTATTTTAAAACACGATTTAATCAGTTTTTCTTCATTATATTTATCTAATACATATTTGACTTAGATTTGCTTAAACTTCTATCTACCAACTACCCAATTACGTAGTTCGTTGGTGGTTCGCAAATGAATTACTTAATCACACAAATGATCGTTTAAATAAGACCTTATGTCAAACATCTTTGTACATAATCTAATATATATTTGGATTGTTAGTCGTATCAGGCAGTCTATACCATCAACTTAAGCAATAAGAAGAAAATCTTACCTTGTGAACATGTTGGCTTTTGGAATGTGTTAGATAAATCGGCACGCTCTGGTTGGCGTCCCTGAGCGCCGTCACCGTTGTCATCATTGGCGACACGACGACCGCGCCACTGCTCACCGGTATCCCACACCTGGACAAGAGTAATGTAATAAATGCCATGTCTGGCGTAGCTGCTCATGTATATGAGCCCCAGCCTGACTTGAAACTATTCGAGTTTCTTTTCAAACAGTTTCGCGAGCCAGCCGGTAAATGTTCATAATAATTAATTTGATAACTCTCCCGATAATTATAATACAAAAACGACCACAATGAATGCCTATTATAGCTTGTTGACAGACAATCAATGTACCCTAAGCTTCTTAACCTCTAGGTACAGAGAAACACAGGTATACATACTTATATAAGAACTAGCGGACCGCCCCCCTGCTTCGCACGGGTAGGTGTCCGACTACCCCGTCAGTCATTTGTTTTTTTAGCAAACGGCCACAGCATCTAAAGGATTGTTAATTCCCGATATTTCCCTTTACTTTTCTAAAGTTTTCTTTCGTAAGAACCTTCACATATAAATAACGAACGTAACAAAAAAAAATCGAAAAAATTTGGCCTGTCGTTATTGAGTTATGAGCTTACCAACACATTTTGCGAACCATTTTTATATATAAAGATATCCTTAGGAAATTAATAATCTAAATCCAAAAGCTCTAGAACAATCAAGTTTTTTGGAGAAACACAATGTCAAAAAGGTATCGATCAAGTGAAGATTATATTAATTATTTTTGGTAAACATAAAGAGGGAACTGAAATGATGGTAAAAAAATACTATTGTTTAGTTCTGGTTACTCCTAAAAACATGAGTTTTATAGTATGTGGAGAGTCTACGCAAACTGTTATTGTTATTAATGAGACGTTTGACGGTTGTGATGTCAGCGTCGGGTTAGAGTTTTATGTTTGTGAAAAAAGACTGTTCTTGTATGGTACCTACTTAATCTATACATCTATATATATAAAAGAAAGTCGTGTTAGTTACTCTACTTATAACTCAAGAACGGCCGAACCGATTTAGCTGAAAATTTGCAGGTAGGTAGTTTAGAGTCAGGAGAAGGACATAGGATAGAGTAGGTAGTGTAGGTTAGGTAGAGTAGGGTAGGGTAGGTAGAGTTGGGTAGGTAGAGTAGGGTAGGTAGAGTAGGGTAGGGTAGGTAGAGTTGGGTAGATAGAGCAGGGTAGGTAGAGTAGGGTAGGTAGAGTAGGGAAGGTATAGTAAGGTAGGTAGAGTAGGATAGGTAGTCAAATGACGGGAGTGACGCCGCGGGTAAGCGCTAGTTTTAAATAAAAATTTACTTTAATTTTAATAATGTATATACAAGTTCTTTTTTTAAATTTTACTGCCCTGGCGTGCAGACAGTGATCAAATACACTTTTTGGCTGTTATCACTGGGTGAAGAGTAATGTCGTGTCTATTTTAAAAGTAAATATTACACAAGTTTTGTAACTGAAAGTAAGTGTACAGACGTAACGAATTTACATACAGCCGACGCGTCGAGTCGGGATCAGGAAATTAGAGTAGTATTAAAATGGAACTGTACTTCGGATGGCTAAATATGACGTAAGTCAGTATTGACACACGTCAGGAATGACAGATGACGTTTATTTTAAAAATAAAGTGTTACTGGGGTAAGCTTCTTTGATATGTGACGAAGTCATAGTCACGATAACCAAATTCACTTGCTACGCAATTGATATTGTTGAATCCAATCTGTTCTAACCAATATGTCGGGAGTTCTTTAGATGTTAAGATAACAAACATTATTCGGAGAAGTCTATTCTAAAGCAGAGTAAATTTTTGTTGAGTGCCGTAAAAAAGAACAAAATTGACCACTCGTAAGGAGATTAAAGTATCTACATAACAACAACCAAAAAAGGTTAAACGCCTTACTTCTAAATAAGCAGAAACAGCATCACAAACACACCTGCTCACCAAAACTAGCTCCCATTCGAGAGATAACCAACAATGTTGACGACTCCTAATAAGGAAACGCGGTGGGCCACAATAAAACAAAAAAGGCGCGCTAAACATTTCTCATTAGCGTCCCAACTCTGACTTACGCCAATCATTGGCAGGCGCCAGAAACCCGACAAGAATGGGCATGGGAGGAGCGCTAATTATTGACAAAGCCAACTTATATGGCATGCCAAACCGATCATAAAACACTAAAGACTTATTACCTTTTTCGTCTCAACGAATCAGTGTGAAGTGAGCATTGACTATTATTTACTTATTGACATTATTATGTAGTTTTTTTTTTACTTTTTTACATCTATGCAAGATTGATTATGTTTTAAATGTCATGTCGTTTTGCGTAATCTGTGGTTCTGTTGTCTGCACTGAGGGTTAGGTTCGTAAAGAGCAAAGGTTAAACCCACATAGCTCGTGTCGATGCATGATTGATTTATTGATGTTGCTAAGTTATGACATTTTGAAATTGATACTTTGGTGGTATTGTTAACAGGTGTTTTCTGTGTGTACAGATTTAATAATAAAGTTGCTCATGGATATATCTTAAAATCTTTGCGACAGCTCCTACTTAGTCAAAATTGGTTCGAAGTATTTTTTCATGTACGACGACAAAATAGTTGATGAATACCTGATGTTAAGCAATCAGCGCCGTTTATGAACACCCGTAGCACTAGAGGAATTACGAGTGCGATTCTGACTTTTTGGGCATAAGGGTTTTGAGAGATTTAGGAATCGTGGCTATAACGCTATGGTTGTTTCACGCCGGTATTTTGTGAGGATGGGTATCGCTTGGGTAGAGGCGACTCATTCGTGCCTGAGCATGGTTCTACTACACTTGTGTGTGTTGTTTTTATAAAGACGCCGTAACATGTATGTAGTTACGGACTAAAAATTAAAGACTCAATTGCCATAACAAGAAAATAGATTAGTATTTAATTATACTATCCAACCGCATTCTTGAAAATTTAGTTTAAAACCAACTATATGTTGGAATAATCCACAACTTGAAGGAACATAAACCACACAACGGAAGCAATTCTTGACCCTTTCGTCTAATAACAGCACTAATAATAGTAACAATAGGTATGTTTCCATTTCGGCTCTTGGCATTCCTTAGTTCATTAGTGACGCAATTCAAGTACCAAGATCATATCGAACTGTCCATAAAATACCATACTTGTCATAATGCGCAATTATTGGAACGTTATCTCTATAATGCATACCTTTTACGCACATTTTTTGCTTCGTAAACAAATTACAGTTTTCAAAGGCCCAATAATTTTGGACCGATGTGTACTAAGGACGTTTATTAAAATGATTACCGTCCACTTTCGGCCGAGTGATTGGACATATTTGAGTGTGTAATTTTTCGTGTTATTATTTGATAAAAGCAATGTAATTGGTGCCAGTTAAATGGCTCGTTATGTTGATTTTGATAAACGACCCCTTTTAGACGTTTTGGTGATGTTTTTTTGGGTTTTATTGCATTGTAAATTAACCAAATTCGGAGTTGAATTCTTTCATAATGTGTTTTAACATCATAAATCTGGTAGTTTTCGTCCAATTAGCAAGAACAAATGGTCAAACTTAATAATATTAAAGGACATCACATCCCCATACCAATCCCATGGGAAAGTTTATCGTACAAAATAAAGAACAGAAAAAGAACCCGCACATACTACCTACTAAAGAAACAATATGAGAAACTGCAGATTCTGTATCCTAGCCACTTACAAATCGAATAAAACAAATACTGATATTCTATTATGGTGATCGTCTGTCCTCCTCTCGCGCGTAAAGTCGAAAAGAGAGGGCGTTACTGGTTGAAATGTCGTAGGTCATTAGGTCCTTACCATGTAGGGCTTGCAATATGCCAATATGGAAGGCAGCCGTGACTTTTGTATGTGGTTATATTGGGCCTAACAATAGGTTATTGGGCATAAGATTTAAACTAAATGCGTAGATGACCCGAGCGGCTCCAGATGACTTTGATAGTGCAAGACATTGTCGGAAATTAATTGTTCAAGAGAAAGTTATTAGGCTACTTGCTCGTTGAAATGGGATTGTTGTATAACATAGGAATGTTATTGGTAGCATGTGTCTTGTGGTTTGCGAATTGTTGACATTCACTTGTTTTATTTATAAAAAAAAATATTTTGATGAAGTTAAACAGTTTCACAGTTGTACTGTAGCTGGTTAGAGCTATGTATATTATTTTTTCTTTTAATTTCACTACTCATACCCAAGTTTTTTTCCATAAATTGCTATCCAAATAAAGCTTTTTAGTAATATTTTTCTACTTCATCTTTCATTGCTTTGCATACTTATGTGTACAAAATATACAAATATGCAAATTTATTTGGGAACAATTAAGTATTGTTTGATCATTCCATCAATTTAGCAATCTACAGATATCCTATGACGTTTCCAAACAAGTCAAAGGGTACTTTTAAAAGAGTTCCTTGTCAAAAAGTATCCATTAGCTTTATCGTTTGAGAGTATCATGTTCCAAGTTCACAAACTTTCAACTGGAATGTCTCGGCGTAACCTCAGCTATTGTCTCCAACGCTTTGTTCACAATTGTAGTTTTAAATGTTGTCTTCTCACTAATTTTATTTTATACCCTTGGCAAGTAATCTGACTTTAGCATATTACGAACCCTGTTTTCCAATATTTAACTTTAGATAAATTCTATTTCTTAGCGCGACATAATCCTAATGTTTTCTATGCTATTACGTTTAAAAACTAAATTGAGTTTATTTGTTTGTTTCAACGTGCTAAATCTCCAAAAATACTTGTTCATATTGGAAAATTATTTTTATGATAGATAGTCAATTTATCGAGGAAGGCTATGAAGAAAAATGAGGATAACATAGCTCATTGGCACGGTGGACTTGCTAAATTTTTTTCAATCTATATGTATAGTCCAACCCTTGCAGAAACATTAAGGTCTTATAGAAATCCATGTCACATTTGACCCAAAACGCAAGTTGACTGAACTGTCCCTAACCTTACCGCTTAATGAGCACACCAAAATTCATAGTACTGCTACTAACGTTAGAAAAATTAATAACCGTATAAGAAAATAGAGGTTTGTCATACAAGAGTCGTCCAGAATGTCGATTCAAATTATGATAAGGTAGAGTGAATTAGTTCTGGTA